AGTAGTTCCTCTAGGTATCACAATATACATACGTAATTTATTAAGCCTATTATTGTTTTATTGCTACCAACTTCACAGTTGAAGTATAGAATCCTTATTCCCTTTACTTCCTTTTATATCCCATTTGTGATATAACTGCCTTATATATTTTGTCAATGTTAATTTAGAACATCAAAGTTACAATCTTTGCTTCAAATGTCAACCATAGTTTAGAAACTCAAGGACACCAAATATACTGTACTTACCTATATGTTTCCTAACCCTTTGTCTTAGTCCATTCAGACTGCTATTACAAGATGCTATAAACTGGGCAGCTTATGTATAAAACTCTATTTCTCCCAGATCTTGAATCTAGGATCAAGGCCCTGGCAGGTCTGGTATCTGAGGAGGGCCTACTTCCTGGTCCCTTCCAAAGGCTCCATCACACTGGCCAGCAGGTTTCAACATACACACTTGGGGAAGGTGGGGCATAAACAAGACCACGGTACATTTTTAAGATATATTCTTTTATTTCCTTTTGTTTAGAGAACCTCCGTCCAATACTTTTTTTAGGGCATGTCTGCTGGTGACAGATTCTCTTATTTTACCTTTACCTCATTAAAATGTCTTGATTATTTGAAGGAAAAGTATATTTTTGCTGAGTATAAGATTGTGAGTTAGACCTGTGATTTAGCTCAGTGGTACCTGCCTGGCAAGCACAAAGTACTGAGTTCGATCCCCAGAGCAACAACAACAAAAAAAGATTGTGGGTTGATACTTTTATTTTAGCATTTGAAAAACATGCAACTTTCTTCTGCTGCCTTCATTTCTGACATGAAACTTCCCAACATTCAAACTGATTTTGCCCTATAGATTAAGCATCATTTATCTCTGCTGTTAATTCTTTGCGTGGCTATTTTTTTGCTAAGGCTCTTACTTTGTAGTTTCTAGAATATTCATAATTGCTCATTTTTATGATAGTTACTTTAAAAATCTTTACTTGGCAATTCTAAATTTTCTGTCATGTGGGCATCTATATTGACTGACTTTTAAAATTCAGCTTCAGTTTCTAGTTCTTGCAATGCCAAGTGATTTTCAATTGGGTTATTATGAGATTCTGGGTCTCATTTAAACCTGTTCTAAGTTTTTCCTCTGACACCTCTCCAGCAGAGTAAGGCGGGGGGGGGGGGCCATACCCCATCACTGCCAGTGGAAACAGGAGTTCAGGTTTTCCCTTGGACTTTGGTGACATTCAAGCAGAAGACGGGCTTCTTGCTAGCAGAGATGAGAGTCCCAGCTTCCCATCAGGACAGCACTTACGACTCCCTGGTTAGAAGGGACACCTCATCCCCGCGCTGTGTGGGTGCACTGACACCACAGGATCTGACTCTGGAACCTCGGGTGGTGGTGAAGGGCCTGATGCTGCACTAAGCTCCCCCTCCAGTGAGGAGAACACCGAGCCCTCTGTGTGAAGAGTTGCCTAAGGCTGGGGCAGAATTCTAGGCTCCCCACATGACCTCCACTGACACCGTGAAAGAGGAGGAACAGCGAAAAAGGGAGGAGCCTTTCTTAAAAATCTGAGCATCTCTTTACACAGAGGGCTGGGCAGTCTGGGCTCTCGCGGAGCCTTTTCAAGGACTGGTCAAGGTGGGGCCAGTTTAGGTCTGTGGCAATTCACTGCAGCAATGCAGCTATTATTTTTGTTTTTTAGGCTGTCCCTTTCCTGGTTGTTTAGCTAGAAAAGACAGACTTGTCTTTTTTCATCTGTCATTGGTGTTCTGGGTTGCCTGCTCCTCCAGCACCCAATCTGGAATATATTAGGCAAAACAAAAATAAACAGGCAAGCAAGTCACTACCACGTTGTTCCCTGCGTTACCTAACTGGTTCATCCTCTTTTTTCCACCTTTCAGAATCTTGCTATGCTCATCTTATTTGTTTATTACATAATGTTCAGGGTTTTCAGTTGTACTTCGTAGGAGGAATATGTAGGCAAAGTGTGCTGATTCCGTCTCCAGAACTCCCGCTGACTGGAAGCCACTGCCTCATTCCCACTTCCAAGTTTCCAGCGCCCTCTTCTCTCACCACAGTGATCACTCTCACTTCTGGAGAAGTCTGGTTCTCACTGGCCCTGTGAAGGCCTCCAGTGACTCTGACTATACTGCTGCCTCTCTGTTTTACTTTGTTCCCAGACACTGTTCTGTTTTGGTACTGAGTTAAGAGTCAATCTTCTAGGAAAAACTGGGTCAGTCGATCTGAGTCTCAAGTTTTCTTATTTGAGAACTGAGGATGACACTGGTCCCTTGATGACTTCACAGGATTTTTAATAACTATTAAATTTAAAAAACGAGAATGAAAAACTGTAACGTTAGTTAAAGGGCTGGGGATTTAGCTCAGTGGTTCTGCTGCCTGCCTTGCAAGCACAAGGGTCTGAGTTCAATCCCTAGTATCCCCCCCAAAATATTAGATGTTAGGGATTACTATATTGCAAATGTTCTGTGTGAAACTTGTGCTCCCCTTTATGAATTATAAAGTGGATGGGTTATCTCAACTTGTTTCACTGTATTTCTCTGTAAGAACTAGGCCAAACTACGCAATTCCTTTGTTCTTAGACATACCACCCTAGACGTTAATATTTAACTAGCAGACCTAACATAAGCATAGCACGTTGTTCACACACACTGGTCTCTACTACATGCACATCTATGCCTGCAGGCCCAGTACCATTCACTCTCAAACACTCGGGCATCTGTGAAGATGATGTAACTGCTGGTTTGTTTGTTTATCTGCCTTGTGGAGCTGGGGATCAGTCATGGGCCCTATGCATGCATGGCCAGCTCTTCACCTAAATTAACAGGAAATATTCATTAGAATATTTTTCAATGTGCTTAGATATATTGTGGAAGTTACTTTACATGTAAATGAAATTTTTCCTGCTTTGGGGAATTTATAATCCAAAAGAAGAAATAGTAACATTTAGTCCACTGTCCTTGAATATGATCTTTTATTTTTAAAGGTGTAAACACACATATGGAAATATCTATCTAAAGTCTCTAAACCAATTATCTCTTCCTTTTTGATTCTTGGAGAAAATAAAAAGCAAGTGATTTCCATTTTCTATAAAATAATGATTCAATAATTATAATCAATCTATACTTTTTACTTAAAATAGTGAAATCGAAGTAGTATTAACTCTGCTTAGAGATAAACAGAAGTTAAGATCAACCAGTGAAACAAAATGATTCAGAAAGTAATGAAAAAAATCCTGTGTGCCACAAGAGTGAAACCCGCTGCTCTGGTGATGACATTTGCTGCAAGATTTTTGAAGTGCACTTGCTCACCAAGTGTCTGAAGGTTACAACCTGGTTTTCTATTTAGTTCCACTCAATGAAAACTGGACTCATCGACCAATTCCCAATTCTGGCCCTCTTTGGGACTAATAAACTGGCATTCTGATTTACAAGATGCTCTCTTGTGTATCGAATAATGTGAGCTTCTCTCATAGAGATGAATCACCTTCCAGCATGTTGGCAAGCACTGTTTCTCACTTTGCAAAAGAGAGCACGAACCTCTGAAATGTACTATACCCACGTACAAGTGCCTTTGTAAAACCCTGCTGAGCATCCAGCTGGCTTTCTGGGGAGACCTGTATGCTGCTCACCTCCTCAGAATGCTGCACTGGCTACACAAGTATATGTATGTGCACACACTTGGTGTTATTGCAAGACGAGTAACATCGTGACGGCATACATGAAAAACATTTTGTATTTATTGAAGTTTAAAACTCTTCATAGAAATTATATACTGGTAATAAAACAAATTAAATGTATTTATTCTATTTGAAAGTTTTTACCAGAATATCTGAACTTTATGACTAATGAACTAGAAATTTACTTAAGTGCTGTTACATGTGTCATTTTTGATTCCAGAGTTGTGTATTGAAAGACAGAAAATAATGGTTTCTAGACATGCTCTTCAAAAAGATGAACTGACAGCAACATAATCTGTAAGTCTGTGTGTTTTGGATAAGGTAACTTTTCTATACTTTTAACATGTCACTTTTTGTTTAAGAAACTGAAAAGGTTTTCACTGTCAAAGATGGTATTTTACTTTCATTCACCGTAACTGCGTTGGCTGTGCTTACTGGAACATATTAAGAATTCCCAAATGTACACGGCTTGGCAACTTCCTTCAAGAAATACAACCATTTTGTAAACAGTTTTAACAGTATATTTATGAGGGGCTAATTGAGCCCTCTACCTTTGCGAAACACTGTAAGAATGAGTATGCTGCTCTTGTTGTTCTAAGACCTCACCAGTTTGCACATTTACACAGGTGGTGTGAATGCCTAATTCACAAGAACAATAAAGCTAAGCGTTCTACCCTGAACTAGAAGTTAACTATTACAAATACATTATAACAAAATCTGAAATTATAAAATTAGTCTCCAACATTAACTGGCAAAGAATTTAAAAGAATACTGAGAAAGAAAATAAAAAATGAACAGCAGGTAAGAGAAAAAAACCAACCTTTAAAAAGAAAAAACAGCACACTGGTCAAAACTGCATGTGAAAAACGCATGAAGTGGCCAGGTTTATTAGAAGTAGAAGCAGAACGCTGGCAGACTGCTACACTAACATCCCAATTCTAGACAGTCTCTAGTAAAATCGCATAAAAACTGTATTTTTAGTCTGACTTAGACCCACATGGAACATGCTAGGAATTATGCAAAATCATCAACCCACCAATCCCAGTAAGGAGAACACACGCAGGGATCCCTAGAACGGTCACCCGGGACCGTCACACTGGCAGGTTGCTCTTGTGAAGCCAAAAGCACTGGCTCGGGTCTGGATGAAATATGTCAGTAGAACAGTTTTAAAGGACTTCACAGGCCCTTGCTTATGCTGGCTTCTAAATGTACCAGTCGAAATGCAGAATGTACTATTTCAAAACCTTGCAAAGTGAATTCTAAAAAGCGCTTAGCAAAATAGCTTTAAAGAGTTTACTTTTTAAAAAAAGTTTACTTTTAAATGCATCTGTTGCTCCAGGTGCGAGGTTTTTGTCTGGATGAAATTTCAAAGCAAGCTTTCTGTACGCTTTTTTCAGATCTTCATCACTTGCATCTTTTGTAACTCCAAGTACTTCATAGTAATTTTTACATTTGTTTATGCTGTAAACAGAAAGTATATTGTGTAAGTTTCAAGGAAGAATGGCACTTAACATTTTTAACTTTTTAGAATAGTATAATGAACTATCTAAGGATTGTTTTCTCAAAATTTAATGATGGCTCTTCCATTCAGGTTAGTTCACTGTGCTGTGGTCACCAACCACTCTTCCAGCCTTTTCCTAGTCTAAGAAGAAGCTACGAGAAACATCCTTCACACAATTTATCACAACTATCAAGGAGTTAAGCAAAGCCCTTGATAACTGCAGATGAAGGAGAGCACATTACTGTAACTCACATGGGGGGATGAGAACAGTATTATAGAAGTCAAGTGGTTAAAAAATTCCAAACATTTCTCAAGAGCAGTCACAGCTAATGAAGACACATTTCAAGAATGTATTCTTATATAATGTTGATCCAACTAAGTACCAAAGCAACATTTGAGTGTACGCAGCATGATTACAAAATTCAATGGTTTACATGTTAAGATAAGTTAACTAGCACCATTATGTGAATGAGGATTTATCTGAGTCATTCTTTGAAAGACCCAGGTCCTTTATAAGTAAAATATAATACAATATAATACAGGACCCAAGGCATTTGTTAAACCCAATCTCCATTTTTACTTTAAAGATGAAACAGATTTAAGACTGGAGGATTCAAAGTATATTAGGAATCGAAAATTACTCTGAATGGAGAAGAGAAGACCAGGTACTTTGGGATGCCACTGTTCTGCCACAGCCTAGCACCCTGGCATCACAGAAGCACCATTTTACAGTACTGCATGTTGTGACTTCAGTAGTGAATGTGGGTTGATACATTTATGACAAGACTCGAAACAGGTGAAATAATCTGACAGTTTTCTTTTTAACTACTGAAGCTATTAGCTATCACAGTGCTTGGTACATGACAGATTCTTGGGGAATATTTTTCGAGTGAATGAGCCATAGCTCTCCTTTCACAATGGAACCATTCATTATTTGTTATATGAAGTAGAAAGAAAAAGAGTGTTGTAGAAGACTGTCGAAATATACAGAGTTTTCTAATAATTACATCAAAAGAAATTTATTACACCATCTTCTTTCAAAACTTAGTTTTTTTTTCAAAAATTAGTGTTTCCCCCCAACAACTGAGCTTTACTCCCAGCCCTTTTATTTTTATATTTTTAAATGCTGAGACAGGATCTATGTCGCCCAGGCTCAATTTGAACTTTTAATCCTCCTGCCTCAGTCTCCTAGTGTTTCTGGGATTACAGGTGTGTTGCCACCATGCCGACCTAAAAGTAGTAATAATTAAAATTGATTTTTTCCTACTTTAGGCACTTACAAATATTAACACAAGGCAGTCTTATTTCAATATCATGACATTTCCTTTATTCAGTCAAAAACAGTAAACACCAACTATCCAGTGTTCTTCCAGCACTTGAAATAGATCAGTAAACAAGAGAGAAATCCTCAACCAGGTGTGGTGGCACACGCCTATAATCCCAGCACTGGGGAGGCTGAAGCAGGAGGATGGCTTTGAGTTCAAGAGACCAGCCTGGGATACACAATTCCAGGTCAGTCAGTCTCAACTACATAGTGAGACTCTGTCTCAAACAAACAAACAAACAAACAACAGAAATCCTCACCTTTAGAGCATCTCTCTTTCCTAGATGTTTAGAGACGAGGTGACTGGAAAAGATAATTAAGTACAAGGGACAGCAGCATGACAGAGTACCTACTATGCGTCAGGCACAGCTTCACAGGCCCACACCCTCGCTCAGTATCCATAAGGCTCTGAAAACAAAAGTTATTCTAAAAGCCAACTTGAGCTTTTAAAGGTAAAATCTGGCCTGAAAGGAAATAAAGCTGTTACAGTCTTCATTCAATCCATGTGTGCATTTGTTTATTTTGCGGCCAAAATGCTTACCACTTGGCTATGGTTTGCTGCCTATGCAACTTGCTTTGTAAATTGGTGGCAGTTAGCAGCTCCTGCTAAGACAATGCCTATCACATCTATAGCACTAGCTTTCTAAAGATGACGAATTCCAAATTCCAAACAATTATCTGGCCATAAAGATTCCACATAAAGAATTATAGAATTTTATTATGCTTTTTATTTTATACAAAGCACTCATTCACTCCTCACTGGGCAGGTTTTATTGCTATTTGACCAACGAGGAATCAAGGCTTTGAATGGTTACATAAATTGCCTAAAGTCACATGACCAATAACAAGTGGAAATCAGAACCTATTTCTTCAACAGTCACTTCCTGACTATTCTACTAGGAGCTGTTTTAGATCCTACAATGGGGAATACAAAGTAAAAAATCTCTAATTACATTAAATTTACAACAGGGAGCGGGAGAAGCCAAAAACAAATACATACGTAAAACATAAAATACAGCTTACAGTGATAAATACTCAAAGAAAAAGTGGCAAAGGGGAATAGAAAACAGAAGTGGGAACAGAGCTGCTGTTTTAAACATGGTAATCAGGTAAGCCGAAGTTAGGATGTAAACCTCTGCTCATCCAATCTGAGCATCTTGCTACTCAGAACTTGACAAGGAGCCTTCAGACTGCAGCAGCCGCCCTCTCCCTCTCCACTCCTTTCCTATAATCAGTGGGACACAGACCCTTCCCTGGGAGGTGTATGCAAATGCTCCTGATGTCCAGATGTTCCTTGTCTGCCTCGCTGGCTGCTACAACTTTTAGACTTCTTCCGCTTAGCTTCTCTTTCCTACTAACCCAAAGGCCCTCTTGTAGGCTTCCGAAGCCCTCTAAACATAAGCCTCACCCCTTCCGGATGCTCTGCTTACTTGTCTGAGTACTCTTCTAGATCGGAGGCTTCCTGAAGGCAGGACTGTGTGTTGTTTACCATGTGTGTTGGGTAAGCAGATGGATAGGGAGATGACAGTTTCAACCTGAAGGGAGAAAAGGTGAGACATGCTCAGACCAAAGGGGATGAGCGCTACGAAGAAAATGCAGGTGGGACCAAAATCAGTTTGAAATAGAAAAGAAATACATAGACTGTGAGACAGGGAACAGGGGTAAGAACAGAATAGAGATTATCTGAATGCAGAAAAGTAGTGATAAAGTAAACAATGAATAATCTTAAAGCCATTACTACTTAGTTGAATGTATAGCTATTACTATTCCACCTTGAGCCTCTAAAAGTGGTTTACTGATATCTCCGAAGCAGGAAAGACTAGTGGCTTAGAAGAGGGTTACTAGACAATACAGGGCAGCCAGAGCGGAATCCTCAATGCTCTACATTACATCAGAGTGCCAAGAACTGCCAGAGCGAAGAAAGACCAGACAGGAAAAACAATCACTTAAGTGATTCTTGAGTACGTCCAGTTCTGCCAAGTCGCTCCTGCTCTGAGTTTTTCATGACATCGTAGAGGAAAAATTACTGAAAAGCCAGCAGACAGCTATAGAGTCATCACCACTCATGGACAAGCTAAAGACTACGCATTGCAAGTCATGCTTCAGACACTCACTCCCCTAGTGCCCACATCGGAATGAGAAATCACCACACACATCTCGAGCTTAACCCACGGGCCCTCACCACACTCTGCGGCACCAGCCATAGACACCTTGTCACACATGTTCCTTCTCGAAAGAGTCAAGGCTTCTTCAGCCTTACTGAGGAATCTTAAGACACATTCTCCCAGTCTCTCTCTGCCTGAGGCCCTGTACTGCCACCAGGCTCTGCCAGCAAGAAGGACATCAACGGACCAGGGATTTAGCTCAGTGGTTCCAACGCCTGCCTTGCAGGCGGCAAGGACCAGAGTTCAATCTGCGGTACCGAAAAAAAAAAAAAAAAAGACATCAACAGACAAACCCTTGAGCTCAGGCAGAGCTGGGGCAGAATCATACACCTACATAAAACCTTGTCTTTATGACAAAGGAGACCCAGTACAGAAAGGGATGTTACAGAACACGGCCAAAAAGAGATCTGGAACTCAGTATCGAGGAGCACGTTCAGCCCAGCCCTGGTGGTGTCCTCTCATGGGCATGAAAGCATAGTCGCCTTTCCACTTTCTTTTCTGCATGTGCTACTGCTGATTATTTAAACAGACTCTGAAGTCAGTGGATATGGAGGGAAATAGTTCTGGGACAAAGGATTTTTACATTTAGCAAAATGATTTGTCATCCTTTTATTTAAAGAACTGGAGCCACATACTCAGGAGGCTGGGGCAGGAGGGTAACTGGTCAAGAAAGGATACACAACCAGTGAGACTGAAAAAGAAAGATCTGGGTCTTACATCAGCTCTCCAATTCAAATCCTCCCAATTCTAACAAGTTACCAGTTGTCTCCAGAATGCTCCTAGATAATAAATATAGTAACAGCCCAGTGAACAACTTCTTGTTAATCCTGTATTCCTAAGATAAGAGATGGCCTTTTTTCAGTGACAGAATAGGAACTTCTTCAAGTAAGATCTATGACAACACATTCCTCAATTTTTAAAAAATACATTCCATCTCAAAGACAGCAAACGGAGCTCAGTTTCATAGAACCAGTTTTCAAAGTTACACAAAGCCCCCAGCTTCCTGTAAGCAGGCTCCTTATGCAATGGATGTGGTGTGGTTGCATGGCCTCTCCCATGGAGCCCAACTATCACTGTGCAGCTTGTTTGCGGAATCCTGCTCACCCACAACATAACCGTGCTGCCTTAAGAAAAGTCCCTTGTGTACCAGTAAAGAAACAAACACATACAGCAGCAAGTACCAGCTACTGATCTGCTCCCTCACTGCAGCAACACTGGCAAGGGCAATGGAACGGGTATTCTGCAAGTCAGCCGGGCAACTCTTCTAGAAGCCAATGACCTTTAGGGATTGTGACTAACTCAGGGATACTGTTGAAAGAATATTCTAAATCATAACTAGTCCCTAGAAGAAAAAATACGTGTATTTAGTAAAAAAGACAGTAAAATTATTGACTCAGGGAATCAATGTCTTCACACAGGTTCCCTAACTAATATTTTTCTAAGGAAAGATCTAGGTTTTATTGTGTTTATAAGAAATACACATAATAAAACAGGATGGTAGAATGAGGATGAAAACAACCAAATTTAGTATAAAAGAGATTCAACCAACTGTCCCAATTTCTACAACAATATATCAAGGAAAAAAAGGAGTAGGGGAGCTTGTTATATAATAAAAGAAGCATAAGAAGTATGAACCAGATGAAATGTATGGATGAAATTTAGTCCAAATACAGAAACTCTTTAAAGAAAATTAGAAAAATCCAAACACTGCATATTAGGTAAAGTGTTGTATTTGTGTCAAAAAAAAATTTTTTTTTTGGAGACAGGGTCCTGGCTAGGGATTTCAGGCTGCTTTTGAACTATGCAGTTTAGGCTGTCCTTGAAATCATAGTGATTCTCCTGCCTCTGCTTCCCTAGTGTCAAATCATAGGCATGTGTCATCACACCCAGCATTTCTTCAAAACAACTCTGACAGAGTAGGGTGGAGTGCACCGAGTGTGTATATTTATGCTAATGGAGAAAGAACACAAGACTAGCTGAATGTTGATAAAGGCTGAAGCCAAATATGGGGATGGGGGAGGGTTCCTCATGTAGTTCTTTAATTTTATGTATCTATGAACACACTTTTATAATATTAGCTTTTTTTTTTTTTGCACTGGGGATCAAACTCGGGTCCCTACACTTGAGAGGCAGGCAGAACCACTGATCTAAATCCCAGCCCGAACACACAATAAAAAAATGTAAAGTATGCCTTTTAATTTTATTAGCTTTATATATCTATACCTGATATTTCACCAGTCATTATTGAAAAAAACACATTCTCTAAGAAATTATGAACAGAACGTCCAGGAACACTGAAACACAGTTAAGTGAATGAACTCAGGAATTAATGACTAAAAAACTTGGAAAAATTGTTGGAAATATACAGATATCTTGGTTCAGAAGGCATCTGGAACAGACCACAGAGAACGTCAGCACATCACATCACAGTCACAATGCCAAGACTGCAGGACAGGAGAGAATCACCAGGTCATTATATACCCAGTGGAGCATTGTTCAGCCACAAAGAACAAAACTGTATCATCGATAGGAAAATGGATGAAACTGGAGACCACCAGGTTAAGGAGCCAGATTTAAAGACAAGTATTACATATCTTCCCCAATATGTGAAATCCAAAACCCCAAAAGGCACAGAAGTAGAAGGGTGACTATTATTTGACAAGAGGAAAAGAATAAGGGTAGAGATAGAGGCAAAGTGTGAAGAATGTATTATTCAATCTCCATATGTTTGTATAGTATCTAGTTTCTTTTGCTGTTGATTTCTACTTTCATTCTGTTACAATCTGACAGGATGCAAGAGATAATTTCAATTCTTTTGTGTTTATTCAGACATACTTTATGGTCTAACATAGGATTTAAAAGAAAGTTCCAAGGGCTACTAGACGAATATGTATTCTGCTGTTGTAGAAGGAACTACTTTAAAGATATCTGTTAAATCCATCTGTTTATTGGTGTGGTTCAACTCTGATATTTCTTTGTTGACTTTTTTTTTTTTTTTCCGTCTGGTTCAACAGTCACTCTGTGACAATAGATTAAAGCCCTCCACTATGACTACTGGTATCTATCTGTACTTTTTGTTCTGTGAAATAGGGTATCTTCACATTCAGCACATGTCTATTTATAACTGTTACTGCTTCCTGGTGGACTGTTCCCTTTCCTAGTATGTAGTAACCGTCTCTGTCTCTTCTGATTAGTTCTGATTTGAAGTCAGCTTTGTCACATATTAGAACAGCTACTCCTGCTTGCTTGTAGACCCAGCTTCATGGAGTATTGCTATCTACTCTTTCACTTTCAGTCTTTGTGATGAGGTGTGTCTCTTGCAGGCAGCATACAGCTGGGTTTTCCTTTTCAATCCAGTCTGTGTCTTTTGATTGGGGAGTTAAGATCATTTACTCCAGCACTTAGAAATGAAAGGTATTTACTAATTCCTGTCATTGTATTATTTTTTGAGCCCTGATTCCTTTAGTTTAACTACTTTCTCAGTTGTATCCTTTCCTTTCAGCTCTTTGTTGGTGTTGTCCTTGCTGACTCTGAGTATTTTCTATAATGCTCATTTGGTGATCATGAATTTCTTTAGTTTCTCTAGTTGTGGAAGGTTTTTATTTCTATCAACTTTGAAGAATAATCATTCAGGATATAGTAACCTGGGGTAGCAATTATTTTCTTTTAGGGCCTAAAAAACTTCACTCCAAGCTGTCTTGGTCTTTAAGGTTTGTGTTGAGAAATCCATTATCTGATAGGTTTATCTTTGTATGTTATTTGACGTTCCTCTGTAACAGCATTCAGCACTCTCTCCTTGTTCTGAACTTTTGTTATCTGACTATCATATATCCTGGAGAAGCTCCCCCCTGCTTATGTCTAACTGAGATTATAAATGCCTTACTTACCTGGGTACCCATCTCATTTCTCTAGATTTAGAAATGTTTCTGCAATGATTACAATGAATAAATTTTATATTATTAGATTCCTTCTTCCTAACCCTAATCCTTAGGTCTTTCAGTCAGCAAGGAACACTTAAGAGATCATCTTCCAGTTGTCCTTTACTGTTTTCTGAGTATCCCTGACTAAAGGGTCTACTACATTAACCTCAAGTCCTGACAGCCTACCTTATGACTGATCACACCCACTGCCAACATTTTTTTATTTTTCCATTGCTTTTTTCACACAGGGTCTCGCTAAATTGATTAGTTGCCCAGGCTGGCTTGAACCTGCAATTCTCCTGCCTCAGCCTCCCAGAAGGCAGTGGAGTTTTCACTTCCAGGATTTCTGTTTGTCTTTTTCACAATGTCCAATGCTTTATTAAAGTGGTCACTCAGATCCTATACTATCTTCGTTATATCATCTAGCCAATTATTTGCATCTTCTGTAATCTCATCCAACACCTTATCAATTGACAAGGTCTCTTTTTACCTTATTGTGTCACCTCGCTGGACAACTCAGTAAGTGCTCTACTCAACTGCTTGTCTGTCTCTGAGTTCTTCAGTTTAGCTCTCAGTTTCTCAAGTCTTTCTCTGGAAATTCATTCAATTCACTGCTTCTGGGCTCAGCTTTTGGGGAGCTATGAGTCCCTGGAGACATCTTGTTGCCCTGCTTTGTCATGATTCCTTTGTGTTTATGTTGAAAATTGTAGGTCAGGTGGACAGAAGGCACTGGCACTATGGTAGTGATCTAGTAATAACTGGTTCCTCCCTCTGCTGTGGCCATGTCTTTGAGTGTGATTTAATGTGCGAGCAGGTACTCCACCTGTTTTAGGCACTAATTCCGTCCCCACCACTGCCTTGTGAGGATGGAAAATCATCAGTAACAGGAACATCCAAAGGAGCAATCACATATCAACGCTTAATTAAAACTTGTTCAGTTTTTAATTTTTTTAACAACCCAGGAAGATGAAAGAATAATGGGGATACATATGCTGGGAACCAGGAGAAAAAGGGAAAAGGGGGGAAAAATTCAATAAAATATCATAAAATAAAAATAAAAATAGAGGAAAAAAGGAGAAAATAGGTTCTGATGGTATTATTTTTATACTGGGAAAAGAGGATGGAGAGAGAAGAGGTGTGAGCGGTTATGTGTGGGGCCAGAGATAAAGAAGAAAAGTGTATACACGTGGAAATCGTGAAAAGCCAACTGCTGGCAACTCCACCAGCAGAACCCCATGGGGTAAGGAAGACCTAGAAGCACTGAGGAGGGGAATCCAGCAGTCAACAGCAATCACCTCAGGGAGTGAGCGGCATCCTTGCGGAAGGCCAGCAGTACCCTCGCCTGCCTACTCATTCACCCCTTCCCAGCCCCTGTGCCCTGGTGGACCGCTGTGCCGCTGCAGCTGCCGACAGGGCCCAGGGCTCTGCAGTCTCCTCCCTGAATGAGTTCTTCTCCCCACACGGAATCCATGATCCCAAATGTGGTTGGGGCCTCAATCCTAACTCAGAAACTTTCCCACTCCTGTGCTCTTCCCCTCTGCAAGAAGCGTGGACTTCACCGCCTTCCCCAGCTTTGACCCTCACTCACCTCTCAGAAGGAGGACCAAGGCCACACAGTCCAACTCCGGGGAAGCACGCAGTGTGCCCACACCACCCTTCACTCTGCTATCCTGGCTGTGTCCCTGCCTAATGCTGGGACCTTTGGGCGTTGGAGAAACACACACAGACACTCGTGTGCACTGTCCACACATGCGTGCACATGCACGCGCGCACACACACACACACACACACACTCAATACTAACAAGGACCTAACAAAGACACAATCCTGGCTTGGAGGTACACACTGGGGAGACCAAGTTCAAGTCCAGCCCAGGGAACATAGCAACTCAAGACTCCGCCTCAAAATAAATAAATGAAAGGGCTGGGGATGCAGCTTGGTGCAAAGGGCCCTGGGTTCAAACCCCAGTTCTACAAAACTAACTAAATAAATATTTTTAAATATCCAGGGTTAATCCCTCCATATCTGTCTTATTTCAAACACTTTTTTCAATACTGTAACATCCAGAATCCCCCCAGAACCCACTCTAATGCAGATCCTACCTGAGGACGCCCTCCACCTGGTCGTGGGTGTAGCCCTTCCCACTCTCTGCACCCCCGGACGTGCTGTCCTTAGTGCAGCTGGCCTTGTTCTGATCCCCGCCACCTGAGGGCTTCCGGCAGCGCGGACTGTTTCCAGCAGTGCTTCCATTTTTCATGATCACTTCCAACAGTGCTGCAGAAAGAAAAGGATACTGTGTCTCTTCACATGAAGGGACACACTTAAGATCTTGATCTACCATGGGCTTTTCACAAGTAGCAAGCATTCCCTTATGTACTCAGCTATTTAGAGAACATTAATCACCATTTTGGAGTAGAACGTGCAAAGTTTAAAATAACTCTAAACTGGGCATGGTGTGGTACACCTGTAATCCCAGCACTCGGGAGTCTGAGGCAGGAGGATGGCTGCGAGTCTGAGGCCAGCCTGGGCTACACAGTGAGTTCAAGGCCGGCCTGCACTACAAAGCAAGAACCTGTCTCCAAAAAAAGAAAGAGAAAAAAATAGAAAAAAAAAAAAACCCAAAAATGCTCAAAATGACTATCATCTGATAAATTATAACGTACTTTTACTGGTCATATCATGGTTAAACTGCAGAAAACCAAAGAAAATGCGACAGTCTTTAAAGCAGCCCATGAGACTACCCACAAGAAACAATGATAAATTCTTGTTTCTCACAGCCACAATGGGAGCCAAAAGACAATGAAACATGGAAAATGAAAATGTCAGAAAAAAGTAGCTGTTGACCTGCATCCTGCCTGAATTTTCCAGAAAGTACCTGAGATAAAAGCATTTCCAAGTAGACGAAGTGCTCAATGGAAGACTTGCCCCAGAGGACACGGGCTACATTGCGACGGGCTCACTCTAACCACACAGGCACGACTGTGACAAGGGCAGTAGGGTCTGCTCGGCAACACCACAGAGAGGGACGGGAGGGAAAGAGCTGCTTGTGCACGCTCACAGTAGTCACAGGTGAGCAGGCGACAGCACTGTGCTATCTTCTTTCCTTCGGGGTATGCTTGAAACTTTCAATATTAAAAATTAAAACATAAAAAAATTAACAGAACTAAAAAGGGAAAACAAAAAGTTCACTATCTTGGTAGTACTTCTGTTTGTTTCTGGTTTTGACATGCGGTCTCATCATACTGTCTAGGCTAACCATGAACCAACTCCTAACCTCAGGCGATCCTCCTGCCTTGGCCTAAGGACAACAGGCATGCACATCATGTTTGGCTTGGTTGGCAGTTTTAACTCACTGCAATCAGCAAGTAACACGAGAGATTTTTAAATAATCTTAATGAGGATATAGATGACATACACATCTAATTTATCAAGCCTGATCTAAGAGATATAACATTGCATCCAACTGGTGAGAATTTGTCTTTTATAGGCTCACAAGAGGTGAAAAGGGACCACATTATATCTAGACACAAAGCTACCATCTTTAACTTTCACAGAATTTATGTCATATGCACCACACTCTATGAGCACAGTACTTTCAAGTGAGAAATCGATTACAAAAATGAAACTAAAATCAAGTTCAGGTGAATTGAAAAACATCAATCTAGACATCTCATGTACCAAAAATCTTAGAATTGAATAAAAATGGCCACGCCTATAATCCCAGCACTCTGGAGGCTGAGGTAGGACCATTGCCTTGAGTTCAAGCCCAGCTTGGGCCACACAGTGAGTTCAAGGCCAGCTTGGACTACACAGTAATGCCGTCTTTCAAAGTAAAAAGAAAGAAGAAATACTGTATCTCGGAACTTGTAACACAACTGAAGAGCCATATGCAAAAGAATCCATGCCCCATATCACAAGACATTCAAAAATTAATTCAAAATGAACTATATAGTGAAATAAAGAGCTAGAAGTATAATACTCTAAGAAGAACAGACAAGAGTAAATCTTAGTGACCTTGGCTTGGCAAAAACTTTCCTAAACATGACAATGACAAAGTTAACTTCAAAATTAAACTTTTGCACTTTAAAAGCTATCAGTAATAGATTAAAAATACAATCCACAGAATGAAAGAAAATATTTGCATATGATGTATCTGGCAAAAGAAATATATCCACGATGTATAACTCTCATAATAGTAACAGAGAATAAAAATCCAGTTTTAAAACTTGGACAAAGAGCCAGGCATGCATACTGCTAGCTACTCAGGAGGCTGAAGCAGGAGGATTGTTTGATCCCAGGAGTTTGAGGCCAGCCTGGGCACCATACCTATCTCTTCCTGTCTGAAAAAGCAAAAAGAACATGAATAAACAAGGGCAAATAATCTAAACAAACATTCTCTGAGGGAGATGAACAAATGGCCAACAAGTACATGAAATAGTTGCTGAATATCTGAAGTGAAAATCTAAAAGATAAAACACCACTTCATACTCAGCAGCAGCGTGGCTATAATAAAAAGATGGTCAATAAAAGGGTTGGCAGCACACAGAGGAACCAGGGCCCTGATGGGCTGCCTGGGGGAATGGGAAATGGTGCTCTGCTTTGGAAAATTATCTGGCAGATACTTAACAGATTTAACACACAGTCATCATGTGACCAACAATCTCATTCCTGGGTAAATACCCAAGACAAATGAACGTACAAAAACTGATTCACGGCTGAGGATATAGTTCAGTGGCACTGTGCCAGCCTGGCAAACCCAAGGTCCTGAGTTCAATTCCTGGTACCGGAGGGGGAAAAATAAAACTGATTCATGAGCGTTAAAAGTCACATTATTCATAATGACAAAAAACGAAACAAATACCCACCAACTAATTAACAAATAAGTAAAATATGAATTATGCAAACCACAGATTATTGAAAAGTAAAGAAAAGACACATTCAAAATTCAATTTAAAAATAAATTCAAAATAAAAAGAAAGCAAATAGTGATGTATGCCAAGCATGGATGAAACGTGGTAACATTATGCCAAGTAGAAGAAGTTAGTCACAAAAGACCATATGCTACATGATCCTGTTCACATGAAACAGGGTCATGTAAACAGAAAGATAACTGGTCCAAAATGATGAGGGAAATCTAGTTAGCAGGATTAGCTGCTGCCAAGGGCAGGTGTACAGGGTCAGAGAGGGAGTAACCAGGGAGAAGAGAGGCAGGATACAGAGAGGAACTGCCATAAAATTGTCAGGACTACTGCGGGGTTCTGTGCATGCACTAAAACTTCACTTAATCACATACTTTATCCAAGAGAACCAGGGCTGGAGAGGTAACTCAGTGGTACAGTGCTTGGCCGGTATTGTATAAGGCCCTGGCCCAATTCCCACCACTTAAAAATGAAGAGAGAATTGTATGGCATGTGAATTACATTTCAATAAAGCTATTTTAAACACAGTTTAAAAATTTCAACAGTACTGCTGACAAATTTGCAAACATGCAGATATTTATTACTTATATAAACTTCTTTCTACCATATATTTTCTCTGGCTAAGAGGCCATCAAAGACAGAGGAAATTTAGTTTTTATAGCAGTCTAGCTGTAGATGATACAGAAAGCAATCTGTTAGCTATGAACAGGAGAAATGTAACATACACAGTCAACTTTCAGCTTGTTAGTTCAAATTTAATGCAACTGCAATGAAAGCCAGCATGGTGTTCACAGTATTTAAACTTGAAAAAAAACGCTCTGTGAATTCTGTGACAGCAGCTTAAGTTTTAAATCTCTCCAAATTCCCTCAAAAAGCTAAACTAAGTAGCAACATCAAAACTTCACACACAAAATCCCCAAACACAAGAAAATAGGGCCTATGTGATACCAGCGTCTGCGTGACAAGCTGCAGAAGGTGGTAAAGGGAATCTTCCAGCCCACAGAACAGAAAAACCCTATGACACCAGCGGGGACCCTTGGGCAGGACTGAACAGAGCACGTGAAGGGGTACAGGCCCACACCAGTCACCACGGACTCGCAGAGCTGACCCATGCTCTCTTCCAGGAAGATGTGCTGAGCAGAACCTGCTAGAATCTAGACCTACACTGCAGAGGAGAGGTACAACAGAAAGACAGATGAGAGAAACTCCAAATAAAAGTGAAGAAAGAGAACATGATATTCTATAGCAAGGTGACATAATCTTACATATTATATACTGACAGGAGGGTCTCTGTGGACTTAGTGAGGCCAACTAAACCAACATGACATAAAAACAAGTAAGAGAAAATGGTAGCAATCAAATCTAATATGAGGTATTATCAAAATACACAATGAATGTTCACATTTTTAAATTGATTACAATAAAAGTCACACTGCCATGAAACCTCTTCAAAAATCCTTCCCCCTCTTTGAACACACTGATCATTCTTGCCACTTTCTGAAGCAGTTCTGGAAATCCTCTTTCATAAGTGTCTTTATGAAATGTGTTTAAAACTACAGTGACTGCTGCTGCTGCACGTTATCCAACAAAAAAGCTTGTAAAAACATTTCAGCCTTGGGGACCATCAGACCCAGCCTAAGACACCTTCTTGGAGACCCAGATAGGGGATGTAAAAAAGAGGCATCCTGGGCCGGGATTTAGCTCAGTGGTTCCACCGCCTGCCTTGCCTTGCAAATGCAAGCACCCAAGTTCCATCCCCGGTACCAAAAAAAAACAAAAAACAGAGGCATCCTTTGTGACAAAGTTTGAGAAAGTAAAAGTGAGAAGAGTCGGGGAGAAACTGGCTCTGCTGAGCGAGCTTGGGTTGAGTAAGAGGGCAAAAGAAGGTGAGAGAAAACAAGAGAACCCTTGGAGGACACAGGCCGGTTGTCATGAAGAGCGATGACAGCCAGCAGTAGGGTTTTCTGATGAGGATACTCTTGCTTAAATTTTAAAAACTAGATTAAAAACCAAAGGTTCTATATTTTACTAAATTAGTTTCTTGTGTCTTTCAATGTTAGGCTATTACTAAAAAAAACTGTTTTAAGAGTTAAAGATTATTCAAGTGTTAGAAATACAAAATATAAAAGGTTTTCAATAATCAGCTTATGAATATTAGCCGTTTATGATTAAACGGCTATTATTGTAGCTCTATATGGCACTATAGATACATAAGGAAAAATAAACAAGATACTGTGGGTTTAAGCTTTAAAGTTAAGTTTATATTGTGATAAGACTACAAAAGCTTAGTACATGCAAAGTAACAAGAAAGTACTCTCTTTTATATCTAAAAGTTAAACAAAGTGGTCAAATATT